CCTTCACATAACCGCCAAAATGTTGAAAATCTGGTCTATGGTAAGTCGCATTATTATTTCTAATGCGTCAAGCTATATTTTCTAATCATGATTACCGTCTAGAAATCAGCCCAACAAAAAGCGGACAACGCTGATGGCGCAGCCGGCAAGAAGAAAAAGGTCACACCTGCCCAGCTTCGGGTCCAGAAAGGTAAGCTCTAGCGGAATCCATGAGTATCGGTGCTAGTGATTAATTAACCTTCTTGTATATATAGATCTTTCCGAGTTATCTCTAGGTTCGACGATGAAGACGATATTTCCCGACCCCGATGATATCCTCAACTTTATTCTCGAGATCACACCCGACGAAGGTATCTACACTGGCGGCCGATTCACCTTTACCTTCACCATGGGTCCGAATTATCCCCACGAACCTCCCAAGGTGCGTTGCCAACAGAAGATCTACCACCCCAACATCGACCTCGAGGGCAAGGTGTGCTTGAATATCCTGCGAGAAGACTGGAAGCCTGTTCTGAACCTCAACGCTGTGATCGTTGGGTTACAGTTCTTATTCCTCGAACCGAATGCCTCGGATCCCCTCAACCAGGAAGCGGCCGACGATCTACGAGCTAGTAGGGAAGCCTTCCGTAGAAACGTCCGCTCAACCATGAGCGGTGGTTCTATAAGAGGAGTGTTGTATGATCGTGTGGCGGCTGGGAGGGCTTAGCGTGCTCAGGGCAAGGGCAAGGGCAAGTAGTCGGAAACGGTTTGCTGACTGGCCGGGCTCAATGTCTATACACAATGTCTATACAGAACCGATACTGGGTATATACAATACCTCAGGAAGGAGAACTAAGCTCCGGTGACGAACATCCTTTTCCGTTAGCCGAGTTGGAGAATTAAGATGCGACGGAAGGATCGAAGGGCAAGAGGATGAAACTGAACGTTGGGCTTGCAGAAGATACATAGCAAGGCGTTTGCGAGGAACCGCATTTACTTGAAGCCATGGACGAAACGAAACTGCTTCCACGTCGTCTCTGCCCTGAGGATCCTCAGGTAATCACAATATGGAACCCGGCAGCCAGGGATGACGCATTGCATATACGGCAACTGGCCGTACACGATAGATAGATATTGGCAGGCGAATATAATAAATTCATGATATTATGGTTTTATTTGGCGTTATCGGAACATGGAGGAACATGGAACTAATGGATATCTACTAGGTACTAGTAGGTAGCTGGGCAGCGTTGATGATAATGTCCCTACCTACATGTATACCTAGTATAGTAGTATAGGTATGTAGGATCTAGGTTGTCGATATGGCCTCGAGGTACATCGATGTAAGGCAAGGACGCTGAAGCTTACTCCATACTCCCCGCTAATCAGAAGTGCGCTAGCCACACCTGTCACACTGAGGGTTTTATGCTACTTGGGGTCACCAGTTCCTTCCTTTAGCTGCTGGCAAGGACAAACATGAAGCCAACAAAAATGCCTGCATCAAGCCTCCAGTACCACCAGCATGACCAGCATGAGGCCATTGAAGTTGTACTACCACTACAATGTATAATGCCCCACATTCACATTCGCCGGACCGGTTTTTATAAGTTCGATTACCCCACCATTGGCTATGTGCAAAGACTCACCGCCGAAGTCGCACCCAACAGTTAGTAGCTTCTAGCTAGGAGCTACCGAACCAAGTACCCTGTTAATAAAACAAAACCTGTTAGGAAAAAAAAAAGTGTAGAAAAATTCTGACTCGCAAGAGCCCCAATTGAATTTTATACAATAAACTTATACCCATCGTGTCTCTTGACGACTTTTCTTTTTCGTGATCCCCACTCAATTCGCATTTCTCACGATGGCTTCTAGAGGCTTTTCTAAGGCTCTTCGTAGCCAATTGGCTCGCCGTGTAGCCTCGCCCGCCGTCCAGACACGCACATTCGTTGCTGCGTCCAACATTGCCCGAGCTACCATCAAGGCCCGCCCTGCTGTTGCCGGCGCTGTTCAGCAACAGGTCCGTGGTGTAAAGACCATTGACTTCGCAGGAACCCCTGAGGAGGTTTACGGTGGGTGCAATTGACTATTATGTAGGCGCGAAATGTGTTAGATGTGCTATGTGCTAATATAAAAAAATTGCAGAGCGTGCGGACTGGCCCAAGGAGAAGCTTTTGGTGAGTTATTGCAATTGATTATAATTAGCATAATAATATTATACCGAACCAAAAACTAATATCTTCCAAAAGGACTACTTCAAGAACGACACCCTCGCCCTCATCGGCTACGGCTCCCAAGGTCACGGCCAGGGTCTCAACCTCCGTGACAACGGCCTTAACGTCATCATCGGTGTCCGAAAGAACGGTCAATCGTGGAAAGATGCTGTCCAAGATGGTTGGGTTCCCGGAAAGAACCTTTTCGAGGTTGACGAAGCCATCTCTAAGGGTACCATTATCATGAACCTACTCAGTGACGCTGCCCAAAGCGAGACGTGGCCCGCTATCAAGCCCCAACTTACCAAGGGAAAGGTGCGGTTGTATGCATCATGCGTGTAACCTGAAAATACTGACCCTTCATAGACCCTGTACTTCTCCCACGGTTTCTCTCCCGTCTTCAAGGACGTTACCAAGGTCGATGTCCCCAAGGACATTGATGTCATCCTAGTTGCCCCTAAGGGATCTGGCCGAACTGTCCGATCTCTCTTCCGTGAGGGCCGTGGTATCAACTCCTCCTACGCCGTCTTCCAGGATGTCACCGGAAAGGCCGAGGAAAAGGCCCAGGCCCTCGGTGTTGCCGTCGGCAGTGGTTACCTTTACAAGACCACCTTCGAGAAGGAGGTCTACTCCGACTTGTACGGTGAGCGTGGTTGCTTGATGGGTGGTATTCACGGTATGTTCCTCGCCCAGTACGAGGTTCTCCGAGAGCGTGGCCACTCTCCCAGTGAGGCTTTCAACGAGACCGTTGAGGAGGCCACTCAGAGCTTATACCCCCTGATCGGTGCCAACGGCATGGACTGGATGTACGAGGCTTGCTCTACCACCGCCCGACGAGGTGCCATTGACTGGACCCCCAAGTTCAAGGAGGCCCTGAAGCCCGTTTTCAACAAGCTATACGACTCTGTCCGAGACGGTACCGAGACCAAGCGATCGCTTGAGTACAACAGCCAGAAGGACTACCGACAAAAGTTCGAGGCGGAGATGGAGGAAATCCGCAACATGGAGATCTGGAAGGCCGGCAAGGCCGTAAGGTAAGATGAAATTTTTTTCAAATCTCGAAATTTTGCAACTTATCATAGCTAACTACTTTCTTTCCACAGATCTCTCCGACCTGAGAACCAAAAATAAGTGCATTTGGGCGTTTTTGATGAAAAAAAAATTACGGGACGGTTGATAAACGGCGAAGGCAGATTCCCCAGGGACAAAAGTAGGAGCTTTTGTACATGTACCTATTCAGGATTCTAAACGTTCATCTTTCACACAAGGATCTTCGGGAATGGCCTCAAAATGTTGCTGTAGTCCGGTTTTCATGAAATATTTCTGATGTTTTGACCACACCTTGCGTAATGTGCGTAATGTGCGTGCCAATTATTTTTCTCCGCTATCGGAGGACGATAACAAATTGTAGATTTGTGACTGGTTGGGATCTTGGTAGATCTAGATCTTGCCACTTACCAAGTTCTTGCATCGCCAGCATAGTACCGCCAGCTCGGGTACCTAGCAAGGATTCAGGAACGGCGAATGGGAGTTTGAGGTGTGCTTTGTGTGACTTCCACCAGACTTTACTGCTCACCACCCGCTTACCCCTACTCGCTTATAGACGGCCAGGACCTTATCCGATATACGTCACACACCCAAGGACCAAGGTACACAATGGCAGATCCTTCGACCTGTCCGCCCCTGACCCGCGCCTCGGTAGCCGAGGCGCGGAAGCTCATCGAGCCGTTTGTGCACCGGACGCCCGTCGTCTCGAGCTCCTCGCTCTCGGAGCTTGCTTCCTTGCCCGGGGAGGGGAAGGCAAAGCCGAAGCTTAGGCTTTGGTTTAAGTGTGAGAATTTCCAGAAGGTCGGGGCTTTCAAGGCCCGCGGCGCGTTCCATGCTATCGAGAGGTTGAAGAAGGAGCCTGGGTGGCTCGAGGGAGGGGGCCGGGAGAAGGGGGTTGTTACACATAGCTCTGGTGGGTTTAATGATCTCTCTTCTTTTTTGGGGGGGTTGCGACTTGCTATGTTAGTCCCCTATTTGGGATTGTCTTGGATTTCTTTAGTTGGAGTTGTCACTTGGTGGGCAAGATTTTGATTGCGATGATCTAATTGTGTGTTACATCTAAGGAGGAGAAGGTCTGAAAGTAAAATACACAACAGCGATGATGTTGTTTGTGATACTGGAGGAGTTAAGGGGACAGCCCTGGCTTGATTTCTGTGTAGCTTATACGCCGTTTGATACCCCTAAACAATCCTCTAGCACACAAGAAGTCAAACAGTACGACTAACAGAATTTAGGAAACCATGCACAAGCCCTATCTCTCGCAGCGCGTACTAACAACATCCCCGCGTACATCGTGATGCCGTCCATATCAGCACCTCCCAAGATCGCCGCAACCAAGGGCTACGGCGCCAACGTGATATTCAGCGGCAGCACCAGCGTAGAGCGCGAGACCGTGACCGCCAAGGTCATCGAGGACACCGGCGCCCGTCTCGTGCCACCATATGACCACCCGGATATCATCCTAGGACAAGGCACCCTGGGTCTCGAGTTCCAAGAGCAGGTCGAAGCCTTGATAGCCGAAAAGGCGGAGAAGAGCGGAGAGAAGCCGACAAAAAAGAAGGGCCTCGATGCGATCATCGCGCCTTGCGGCGGCGGCGGAAGTAAGTAACCACTATGAAGTCCCCTTTCGTCCCATTTTTCGTCCGAACTTTGGAGCTATCCATCCAGTTGCCGCATGACGTACAGTTCCAAGTGCCATATAACTTAGGGCTTCTCAAATGACAAACATCCATTATGTGCTTTCATGTTGTAGGGCATTGTCAGTGCCCATTGGCCCAGTGGTTAAGGCGTCTGACTGTTACACAGTAACATCAGAAGATCCCTGGTTCGACCCCAGGATGGGCAGTTTATTTTTTTCAAGTTTACGATGGCAAATAAAGCCATTCATATTCCTTCTCTCACTCTTTCCTTCCTTCCCAACATCATTTCGAGCCTTCTATCCTCTTTCCTCCACTCCTTTTCAACCCGATCGCACATCTGCGCAACTCTCTTGTCCAAACCGGCCGACTAACACAAAACACAGTGCTCTCCGGCGTAGCCCTCTCCTGCGAGGGAACAGGGATCCGCGTGTTCGGCTCCGAGCCCTCTTTCCAGGGCGCCGACGACGCAAAGCGGGGCTACGAGTCCGGGTCCCGGATCACCTCCGTCAAGAGCCTGACCATCGCGGACGGCCTGCGCACCCCGCTCGGCGCGTTCCCCTGGTCCGTCATCTACGAGCGCCGGCTTGTGGCGGGCTTCTACTCCGTCACCGAGGACCAGATCAGGAGCGCCATGAAGCTCGCTTACGAGCGGCTGAAGGTCGTCATCGAACCTAGCTCCGCGGTGCCGCTTGCGGTCGCGCTGTATGATGAGGCGTTTAAGGAGTTGGTTGAGAGGGAGGCGGGAGAGGAGGGTTGGGATGTTGGGATTGTGTTTAGTGGGGGCAACGTTCGGTTGGATGCGCTTGGGGCGTTGTTTGGTGAGAGTAAAGAATAAAGAGGCATGGAGGAGGAGGGTTGGTTGGTTCGTGTGACGGCTGTTGTACTCGTACATCTCGTATATGTAAAAGGTGGAATAGGAACCTTAGATTAGTATATGTAAGTATATAAAGTAGTTGGGGTATATGCATGCATATCATTAATCTCATTCATATCGTATGTACGTAAGTACTAGGTAACTATTCTAACCAAGACCTTTTCGTCAGCGGCGCCGAAAAAAGGGATGTTTGCTAAATGATGAAGAAGGACGCCGTGTTGCCAACCCATGGCACGCTCGATCCTCTACTCTACCATACCTCCAGTGTTTGTAGCGAGCATCAATCCAAGAAACCTCGCGCTTTTCTAACATACCTACTCTGCCCATAACCTCGAATTATGAGTACTCACTTACCATTCAGAGCCTTATCCATCTGCGTCCTCCACTTCTGGCTGTTCTTCCTGAGGAAGTAAATGCACAGGTTCCCACTAATCCAAGAAACCAACCCTACCAACGTCATCAGCCACCCGACGCCCATCACATCGATCAAGGGCTGTCCGACGACACTTCCCGTGCAGCTCAATATATTCCTCACAAAGTTATTAAGCGCGACGCCGCTACTACTCCGCCCCGGCATGAACTCTGTAAGCATCGTCGTCGTGGCACCGAAGACCAACATGCTGCCGACGCCGAAGAAGAAATTCGACACGGCCGGCGCGGCCCAGTGCACGCCGTAGCGCAGCGTCCAGCCGGACCAGATTAGAGCGCCCGGAAACAGCGTCGCGGCGATCCACGCGTTCTCGCGCATGCGGTCTTCGGGGAGATACACGAGCCTCCCGTGCTCGTCGTACCGCTGCGCCTTCTCCGCCGCGCGCACCATGATTCGATCAATCCAGCGACCTCCCAACATGCTGGTCGCGAAGTAGCCTAGGGATCCGGGGAGGTAGAGCAGGCCGATTATGATGGCGGAGTAATTGTACGGGTCTTTCGAGAATGAGGATTGGATGGAGATGTTGAGGACGTAGAGGGAGCCGAAGGTGATGGCGGCGTAGTAGACGGTGATGGCGACGGCGGGGAAGCGGAGGTACAGGATGATTTCTAGGGGGTCGACGAAACATCGTTTTAGCCACGACGCAGCCTTCTTGGTGTATATCTGTACCGAACGCGTGGTTGGGACGCGGACAAGGTCATCCGATTGTAAGGGCTGAACTACGGGCGCGCTCGGGCGCTTCGGTAGGGTTTCTGGCACGCAGAATAAAACGAGGATGAACACCACAGCGCCGTACGCGGTAAGGAAGTATTCGGTGCTTCTCCAGTTAAATCCCTCTGTGAGTGCGCCACCTATGATAGGAGCTAGAAGGGGTCCCATCAATGGACCTAAATAGAAATAGCCCATGGCGCGACCACGTTGTCGGGGCTCCCATATATCGGCTATGGTGCCCGCGCCAACAGCCTGCACGGATGCGGCCGCTCCGCCAGAAAGGAGACGGAAAACAATTAACATTGCGATATTGACACCCAGGCCGCTTAACAGCGAGAAGAGCACATTTAAAAAGAAGGATGAGAGGTAGATATTACGTCGTCCTAGGGTCTCCGAGAAGGAACTCCACCATAATGGGAATATTGACATTGCAAGCATGTACAACGCGATTGTCAAGTTCACCACTGTTGGAGATGCACCGAGATTCTTGGTCATCTCAGGAAGGGCAGCTAATATGATTCACGTAAGTCTTATGATGTTTACTGTCGGGAAAAAAAGCGTTATGCTACGGTTTAATGAAAGACATGTATATGCTTACGGAAGAAGATTGAAGACCCCATAGGCGCGGCGCAAGCAGCCAATGCTATGAACGCTGTTATTGTCCATTTGACCTTGTCTGGATAGTCGTAAGGTCGTTCGACTTCTGGAACGAGTGTTAATTGCGCGAGGAAGCCTCGTCGTTTTAGCCTTGGCACTACAGAGAGCACTCTAGACCGGGCAGATGATGCTTGCGACCTGGCTCGCTCTGTTGGTATAGTGGCCGCGGCTTCTTCATCGACAGGTAAGCCATTCATTGTTAATATCCGCTCAGGGACAGGGTCTATCGAGTTATCGTCCCCGTCACCATTCGAACTGGCGATGGAAGCAGTAGCCTCCTTGTCATCTGAACGGCCTCTATCGAACCCAACATCTTCCGACTTTTCGTCTATCTTTTCTGGGTCAATGGTCATGTCCACGAAGTTTATGGCGAGCACTGGACAAAGAAACGACCCTCGAGTATAGCCTAGGTTATTCTGACCGACAAGGTAGCAACCGATATCGGTGGTAGCCGAAAATTCAAATAGACGTGAATGAGCTGGTTGTTATAGGAAATCGATAGTCCTGAAGTAGTGCCGTACTGTGATGATTCATGGACTTCATGAACGAATGTAGAATATTACCAGGATAGTGGGAACATTGATGTCAAGGACATGGAGGTTGGGTGAAATAGAATCGCAAATATTTACCTTGGACCTTGGACCTTAAGGCTTAGGTCCTATACCTACTCATAGGACAGCCAGGGGTTAGGTAATGAGAGCACTATTCGAGTGACAGTGGGCCTATGATAGGATCTTGCCTCTTGCCAACCTACCTACCAGTACCTACCTAGATAAGTATAATGTAACAAAGGCAAGCTTTTTTGAGGCGGCTGGGCGATTCACCTGCTTTAGTTCGTGTGGGGTTAGGCTTCAGAGGCGGGAATTGCACCTGGGCGCAAAAAGCCGAAAAATCCGAGGTAGATGATGGATGGTGGGTCAGAGATTCTAATCGGTGAGCGGATTCCGATACGACGGGGATTAACCAGCAAGAGAGTCGATCATCCAACAGGTTACATCCAAAAGACATTTTTTTAACCCCATGGTTTTAGCCAATTGGAAGACGTTGTCGGTGGAAATACCAGCAGTATTCATACCTGGGACCTGGGTTTTCAACTTGAAGCTTTGAAGGTTCTTACTGTGTAATAGCCCTGGAGGGTAGAGCTCAATACTTTGAAAGCTCGAAGATCTTGTATGAGTGTCATTGAAACAATCGGAAGTCACCATCTTATATCTCAGCATCCGTGATGGTCTGTCTCATTTTCATATATACGATATGAATGATGTAGGTCCTAGGATCTAGCTGATTCTAGGTATTAAATGGAGACGCACTTCATGCACCCTAATTAGGCTGGGGTTCACGTGACTTGACGTGACTTGACTTGTCATGTGACACCAAGATTAATACTATGCAGAGATCATATGCATGTCCGTGTCATACGATGGATATGGATGTCTTATTTGGCGTAAACGCAAAAGATCGTAATCCAGGAAGTCACACAAGCTATATACTCCGAGTGAGTCGAAGATTCTGCTTAGGACAATCAACAGAGGATTATTTAATAATATGATATTACAGTAATATTATCGTATTTCATTTGACGAAGCTTAAGGGACACTAGGGACACTAGGGGAACTCCGCCGAAACTCAATTTTCTCAACGTGCAGAACGTGGCTTCTCACACAGGCTGACTGGCTGACTGGCTGATAGGGCTAGCCACAGTGGCTATGCTACACTACTTTAGTCTTTAGACTTTAGTGAGATGTGGGGTGTGGGGTGAATTGCTTCCGTGATCAGCCACTTGCATCATAGAGTCTAGACATTTTCCTATCATAACTTCATAACTTTGAGACTTTGATCCTATTCACCTTCCGATCTTGGAATCTTCGACGTTGCTCATCACCCCCGGGCAATGTCTCTCACAAACGCATCCCCTTCCGAAGCTGCCAAGGCGGCAAAGGAAGCATCCCATGTCCTTGCTACCTTATCCGAGTATGCTAGGAACGATGCTTTGACAGCTATCCATGCGGGCCTAACCGCGGCCAAACAGGACATTCTCGCAGCTAATGCCCGTGACCTTGACGCTGCACGCTTAGCAGCGGAAAGTGGCCAGCTAAGTCAGAGCTTGGTCTCAAGGTTGGACCTTGGGAAGAAAGGGAAGTGGGAAGACATGTTAAAGGGCATACTCGATGTCCGCGACCTAGAAGATCCCGGTGAGTCACCGGTACCGGTACCGGTACCTGTGAGCTAGGGGCCTATGAACGTAGCTGACTGCTTTCCAACATTCAGTTGGTAAGGTAACTTTAAGAACGAAGCTCGACGATGGCTTGGAATTGACGAGAGTTACTTGTCCCATCGGTGTTCTTCTGATTATCTTCGAGGCACGGCCTGAGGTTATTGCCAATATCGCTTCTCTGGCGATAAAATCGGGCAACGCTGCCATTCTCAAAGGAGGAAAGGAGTCGACAGAATCCTTCATCGCCATCTCTAAGGCTATCTCCGCAGCCTTAGAGAAGACAAAGGTTCCAAATGGTGCTATTCAACTCGTTACTACA